CAACTGGATTGTTCGAAGTTCCACTGAAAAAATAATAAGCGATAGCTATAACGTAGAGCCAACAACCGTTCTTCTTTTTCGAGTGAATGAAATATATTCCGAGGGGTCCGCAAATACGTGCCTCACTCGGAGACAACCGTCCTGTTCTAGCATTCCTATCTCATGTTAAAATCACATTAGTCCGGCTCGCAAGAGCACGTAGTTTAAAAAAAGATCTTAGGTTGCAACCGGTAGGAATGTGCGCCGATACGAAAAACAGGATTGGTCCATCGTCTTGGCGACTATACTTTGCACGAACGTCTGAGTCTTACTGTGCACAACCGACTGTCGACTGGGATTCAAGCTAAGGAACAAGATAGTACTTCCGACCGATCGAATTTGCTGCGGTGTATTCAGGAAACACGGAAATCGATTCGTTTATACATCCCTGATCAATGACCCTTTCTTGTCCGTTATTTAATCTATTTGATTTTCTCCATTAAACTAATTGCTAATTTCCTATCATTCTTGCGTCTTGCTGTCGAAAAATACGCTGTCTCTTGACTCCATACCACGCGGATCTTATCGTAACGTTATATGTTTGGTCCTTCCAAGTCCCAGGGCTTCCGCTTCCGGTTACCATGGCTGAACGGCAAAACCGTGTGATAATGGAATTGTACCGTTCTGCTATCTTTGTATCGTGTAATAAAATGAATGAATATGTTCTCACTCCGATCGGACATGACAAACGAGATTTCCACACTCTTACCACCAGAGAACCAATAAGTCATACTTTCATTTTTTCGTTGCTACTTGATTTTTCCCAATGACTTTATTTGATCACATAAGAAACAACAGTGTATCATATCCTTGATAGTAAGGACACTTTAAGAAGAAAGCAAAATATTACACCACTAAATAAGCTTTATATTTTACAAGTAAAGTTGAAGTAATCTAAACCACTGGATCGTGACAAAAGAGCAAACAGCCGCGGGAATATGCTTAATCTTTATGCACGGCAAACATGAAGTCATACTCCTGCGGATTGCCAAATTCAGCACCTTGCTTTTCAATAATATACCGAAATGGAACACCTTGAACAAAAAACTGTAAATGCTGCATCTTATCCGTCCGGGAGTTCAGTGCACGCACTCGATCTAGAGGGACTTGGAATCGGACTGGAGCAGATCGCATGGCAAATGCGCCATACGTTTCGATCTCAACCAGCTGATATGGTGATTTCCGAGCAATACTACCGGATGAAACTGGGCCGGGGAGCAAAGTGATACGACGCACAATACGTCGGGGTAAGATTACACCCATGCTAAATGTGAATATACCTGAAATTCGGGTGGAGCAAGAGGTGGAAAGGTAAAAGGGTTTATTAGATAAGGAAGGATTAGTAAATTGATTTAATTACTGAATAAAATGCTCTGGTTTATTGCAGGATTCAACAAGCTAAAAAGTAAGAAACAATACGCACCGGTTATAACCTTGTCGGATATTATTATCTGAAAACAGCGCGGAGGAAATAGGAACAGTGATAAATGCATCCGGAAATATCGTCATGATACGGCACAGTAATGAATAGAACTTATATTGAACGGTTCGACTCCAACTGCTGACTCCAAACAAGAGGGACAGATGATATTGCTGTTGTGGCAGCTACATTCGGAACCCTCCTCTGCGCCAGGCGCCAACTTGTTAACGAGGAACCTCAGAAACATCGCAATGTATTGCGATACTACTTCCCTAGGTCTTCATCCTCTAAATGTATGCCATGGAGTATCTGTCTCCTTGATTTCTTTGGTGCTCTATTCATCATCGAGTAAGACAGGCATCGTCCGAGTTGATTACGTGAATTTCGTATTCAATGGGGTGTATATAATGGCTACAAATGAGTATAAAAATCTCACTTTTATCAGTTTGTGTTAAAAAAAAACAACTTGCCCCATACATTTGTTTGCTCTCATCACTATTGATCAGCTCCAGTATGAGCTAAATTGACATTCTAATCTCCGCTCTGCTCAAGGAACATTAAAATAAAAACCCGGGAGGACACTAACAGTGAAAGGTCGCTAGAAGACAGCCGTTATTTCCACTATAACACACCGATGCAGCAATGTAAGGGTATCGTAGACCTTTTGATATTCAATAACAGTACTGACTTGGTCTCTCAACAACACCCAAGCAAACTTAGTGATCATTTACAGTTCATTTATTCCTACCAGTAAACCGTTTACAGATCGATATGAAATGACACCCATGAGAACGGGTCGTTGCACTTGTGTGGTTTCATTCACATCCATCTTGGGGATAAGTGAGGTTAGTTTATGATGTTCTGTAACGGCTCACGGATTATTCGAAGTTCCCGTGATTTGCAAGGGACAATGACGGCCAGAGAACGAACCTTTAGTTCTTTAAAGGACTAATGTCGCTTGAGTCCTTAAGTTCAGTGTTTCTTTTGTGTATTAGTCCATGAAGAAAAATGATGGAATAGTGACTCGTATAGCTTTTATTGAACAAAGTGTCAATCTATACGAGCTGTAAGAAGTGGACTGATATGAATAAATGGTCCAATTTCAGATACTTATCTTTAAGCAACTACCTCCTGTGTGGGGTATAAGTCGACTTCTAGGGTTACAGCCGTCTGCACTTGTCGGTTTACGGCAAGGTCACTTGAGACGCGATTCCTATCCCATTTCCGTGGACCGTTCGTTTCGAAAGCCTAATTGTTCCAAACTGACTACCAAGGATAAATCTGAAGAACTGCTTTGAAGTGGTGTTCCCAGGTCGTATGAGAACGTGGTTGAATGACTAAAGGCGGTGAGATTGTAGGATAAACGATCATCAGTCGCTGCTATCGCATCACCTTTAGTTCTGTTCACTAAAAATTCGATCTTGTCACTGTAGTTTCAAGAAGGACGAAAAGCTCCAATTTCTGTGAGTAATGCCTAGGTTTGACAATCAGATGAGAGAAGAGGATGACAGCTGACAGGACTAACATATTGCAGTACAAGTTGATCTCTTTATGTATTCATGCAGTTGCAAACAGATCTTGTGTGCGCTTTCGAACAGTGATATGGTTTCATCTTTGATCTAGTCGTTCATTTGGGTCACAGAGCCAATATATTTAGATTTTCTTGTATTCTCCTTTGGTTCGCCATTAGTCCGCAACGGGTTCATTGAATGTCTTTATTTATTGAATATACAAATGTACAGTCAACATTCAGGAAGGGGGCCGCGGCCATACAAAAGCTGCCCGAGAAGATGGGCGGCGGTGGGGCGGTTCGAACCCGGGACTCACAGGTCACAAGTTAGTGACCTAACCGCTTGGCTACCGCCGCCCCAGAGAATGTTTTAGTTTTCGTTTTCAACCAGTTAGTCTACAGTCCAATGATTGGTAAGCGGTTCCAGGGATCTGTCCAAGGACAACAATGTCATCCATCAATTCCAGACGAACGGTCCACTTGTAGGAAGTGAGTGCTTAGATGAAAAGCATCAGGCATACTTTATTAGTTTTGATGAACTCCATATTTGGGGGCAAATTCTAGCATGAGCTAGGGAACACGCTCGAGTTGCTGTAATGATAATGGAAGTAGTAGTAGTGAAGTTACGCACAGAATTCCGGACACGAACTA